AAACACAGGAAATTAGGAGGTAGAATTTTGTGTATGTAGTTGGACTGTGGCAACTGATGGAACAGGTTCATCAGGTAAGGTTGTTACTATCAACAGTTGCAGCCAGACAAGAGTGTACTATTTGTCCACACAATAATATTCAGTTGTTCCTGTTCATCAACTGAACTGGGGCACCAGTGGTATTTTCTTTTGACTCATTTCTGATCTCAGCAAGCTGCCTGAATTGAATTAAACCAGGGGTGTGTGTTTGTATCTGGACAGAGGGCTGTGTGTTCCATTACCATCTTTGAACCAGATGCTAATCAGCCAGCTTAGGAATTTCCTTGAATTTGTGTCCTTAATTCCACAAAGTAAAACAATGTAGTCTTTAAGGTCAGCTTCTAAGAACCACGACCATAAATTTAGAAGAACAGTAGTATGAAAGCCAGGCAGGGTATTTGTTGCATTAGAAAGGAAAGAGTTTCAGTTGGTTTTTTTCAGTTGGTTATCGTGGATAATGCCGATTCTAAAACCGGTCTATTGCACTTGAAAGGATTGTCTGTTTCCAAAAGTTCCATCATTAGAAATGATATATTCATAACCTAAGAAGTGTACTTTCTCACAGGCTACTTCCCTCTGTGTTAATGAGAAGTTTCTTATTGTAGCGAATAGATGAAGCTTCTTATTCTTCTTGGTGTTAGGTCTTTTGTCTAGTACCTCTTAAATACTTGTGCAAAAGAACAGTAAATTCAATATATGCATATTCTCAAGCAAATAAGATGATGACTTCAAAGTTTCAGATTAAAAAAATAAGACTTGATTCTATAAATTTGAAAGTATTTAATTTTTTTGACAGCCTTTGGGTTTAAACTAACTCAAGACCTTGTACTTGCTAGCACATGCCCTACCATTTGCGTCATGACCCCTAGATTTCCTATTTCAGTTTGGTATAGTGTCTTACCCTTTTAGCAGGAACTGCTTTGTAACCTTGATCCTCCTACTTTCACTTAGCTGGGATTATAGGCATGCCCCACAATGCCTGTCTTCATTTAACTTTTGAATACAATCATTAGCATCCAATTTAATTATTTATTCTGTCCATTTCCTCATGTTCCTTTAACATTGTGCTCTGCACATAAGGAATATCTATGCTTTGTGAATAATTTCACAATTACACCAGAAGCATTATTGGGTAACTGCAGTACAAAATTCCAACTTATTTGATGTTATGATATATGAATCAAACATCCATTTTTTTTTCTTCTGAGCACAGAGCAAAGTTCAGGGAAATGTTTGAAGAATGAGAGGATAGACATTCTTAAGAAAGGGAGATCAAAAAAGCCAGAGGCTTGTAGTTGAAGGTGACTTATGTAGGAGCAATGAGCTAGAAAAGCCAATATAACCTTCAGATCTCTTCAGCTCAGTCTGTTCTCTATTGAGATATCCATATTAGCAGGTTTTTGGAGAGTGGTAAACAGTGATGTGGACAAATATCATGAGGAATTTTGGACTGATCTTAGAAAGCCACTGGGAAAATTCTCTCCTTCTCAAAGCCACTAGAGAATGTGAACAGAAGTCCGAACTTAGAGCTTTCTATTTCTATATTTTCTCCATCGTACTCAATTTGAGTAGATGATAAACTGCATTGTAAACTAAGTTGTTTCTTCTAATGTAATGAGATCATGATATCATGAGATCTTTTACTCTGTTCCTAGTAAAATAACATATTTCTAATTTATTTTATAAGTTCCTATGACTTGCACCAAACAAGTTTATCATGAACTATAACTGGAAAAATTAACAAAAGAAAATCCCTACTTTTGTTGGAGTTAGAAAAACACTGAAATTATTTCCTAGTTTTGGACCATTTGTGAATTGTGGAAGAAGGGACATTGAACATCACCCTCTATAGAGAGAAAGTGATTTGTTTGATTGATCTAAATTTGTGATCTGCATAATAAATATGCTTTAGGGAGTAATATATAGCAGGATGTCAAATAACAACATTCAAATAACCTAACATTATTACTACAAAACTTTTGGCTGAAAGTTCATGTAAAGTATTGGTAATTAACCAAACATCCATGAAGTGTGTTTCTGGTTTAGATTGTATCTAGTGTAGTGATGATACTGAATTTCATTTACTGTGGCTACTAAGAAACAGGTTGAGTCACAAATGTGTGAAATCTCAGTTTCGAGATTTTTTTAAAAAAACAATTCACTAGAATCCAAAAGTGCCTACAATATATTTTATGAATATGATATAAAAGGTGATCATTAACCCTTTGGACATTTCTTAGCTCTTTAAAGAATCGAGCATACATTGTTGTAGGAATGTAAATGTGTTCAACCACTTTGGAAAGCAGTATGGAGGTTCTTCAAAAGACTCCACATAGAGCTCCCCTATGACCCAGCAATCCCACTTTTAGGCATTTACCCAAACCATCACAAACAAGGCCATACTAAAGCTACCAGCACAATTATGTTTATTGTAGCATTATTTACCATAGCTATGATAAGGAACCAACCCAGATGCCCTTCAATAGGTGAATGGATCAAGATATATATATATATATATATATATATATGTATATACACACACACATATACATATACACACACACACACACACACACACACACACATACATATATATATAGTGGAATTCTATGCCTCCATCAGAAAGAATGACATTGCCCTCTGGTTAGGAAATGGAAAGACTTGGAAAATTATATTAAGTAAAGTAAGCCAGACCCAATGAAACATAGGTCCCATGGTTCCCCTTATTTGCAATAACTAGTATATATCTAGGACAAAAAGAATAGGTCAAAAGCTATATACATATGACAATATAATCTGAGGCTAAGGGAAATGAACCCCAAGATAGGGATATAAGAGATTTTATTTTTCTTGTTGTTCTTTTCTAATGTTCTTATAATGTACTATGTGATTTTTTTTGTCTCTCTTTGTATGTTCTTCCCCCATGGTATAACCCCTGTTGTCACTGTACTTGATTCCGGTGTCCTGCATCTTGTATACATATTTTTCTAATTTGGGGAGGCAAGGGAAATAACAAAATGCTGAAATAGTGATACAGGATGACCTATTGTAACAATGAGATGTACAAGGCACTATGTTGAATATGAACTTTACAACTTTGTGCGGGGGTGGGGGGTGTTGGGGAGCTCGGTAGGAAAGGGATGGTAGGGGAAAAACAAAGGAGAGGGTAACAATGCTTGATAGGAAATGGACTCATTACCTTGTTCATATAACTGTAACCCCTCTGGAAAAACCAGTTGTTTAAGGATACAGGTGGAACTGTTGCAACAATGAGAAGTACAAGTTGTCATGTCCAAAACGAGCTTTACAACGTCAGTGCGGGGGGGAGGTGAGGGGGGGAAAGGGGGGAAAAGAGAAGGATTGGAATTGGGGGGGAGGGGGGAGGCTGGGAAGGGATGTGAAGGGTAAACAAAGGAGGAGGCTGCAATGCTTGGTAAGAAATGTACGCAATATCCTGCCCATGTAATTGTAACCCCTCTGTACAGTATGTTCACAAATAAAATAAAATTAAAAAAAATAACTGTAACCCCTCTGTACAGTATCTTTACAATAAAAAATATATTAAAAATTCAATGTAAATCCTACAAAATTTAGAAGAGTTAAGGAAGAGACAGGAAGAGGAGGGATGAGTGAGAATGTTGAAAGAGATGACATTGATCAAGACATATTCACAAGCTGTTTGGTTGAATGGCAATTGCTTTGTACAACTACATTAAGATAATAAAAATATTTTAAAATGGATTTAAAAAGAAATAAAAAAGAATCGAGCATAAATGGTATCTGAAACCAAATACATGTCAGCTCATTTACTTGGTATTCTAAATATATTAATATCACTCCTATTTTTTTGGTGCCGGACCTGGGGATAGAACTCAAGTCCTGGATGATGTCCCCGAGCTTTCCTCTTCATGGCTAGCACTCTACCACATGAACCACAGCTCCACTTCTGGCTTTTTGATGGCTAATTGAAGCTAAAAGATTCACAGATTTTCCTACCTGGACTAACTTGGAACTGTGTTCCTCACCCATCAAGTGAGCTACTGGAGCCAAACCATTTCTCTTAACACACACACACACACACATATATATATATAAATTTATATACATATAACTTATATATATTTATATATAACTTATATATATATTTATATGTATATAAATATATATAGTCTGGAAATGTGGCTTAGTGATAGAGTGCTTACCTGGCATGCATGAAACCCTGGGTTCTATTCCTCAAAACCACATAAACAGAAAAGTCCGTAGTGGCACTATGGCTCAAGTGGTAGAGTGATAGCCTTGAGCAGAAGTTCAGGGAAGTACCCAGGCCCCTGAGTTCAAGCCCCAGGACTGACAGTGTGTGTGTATGTGGTGTGTGTGTGTGTGTGTGTGTGTGTGTATAACTAGAGGATAAACAACTGATTTTTTTATAACATGAGAGTAATAGGATAAATAACACATAGTTTAATGAGACTTTCAAAAATTGTCACCAAATCCAAACTTCAGAAATATAGTCCATTCAAATAAAAATTCAACCAACTGTTTGCCTGGGATTGTTATGAAGAACACGTGGCCTTACCACCATCTCGCTTTGGGTCTGAGTTCACTGTTGTATGTAATATCTTGTGGCAACTACTAATTATCGTGAGCTGTCCAATAAATGTGATGGATTGTCCAATTAACTCTTCATCAGCATCCGTTTTTGAAGATGCTACCTATCAACACGGATGGCAGTTTATGACCTCCATGTTGCATAGGTAGCTAATTGCTCCTTGGACAATAATCATTAAGCTTCTTACATCTCATGTAGACATTTTGTTGTACAAATTATGATACCAGGGAATTTCCCAGTGCATCTGACTTCACAAATAGGACTCTCTAAGGATTCCTAAGTTCGTGGTGGAGTACACAGATTGTGTGAACAGTGAAGTTGATGAATACAGATCTATCATCTTTTTTTGCAGGTTTTCCATCGACCGGCACACTGACCTGGAGAGACAGTTCAATATTAATGCAGATGATGGGAAGATAACACTGGCAACTCCACTTGACAGAGAATTAAGTGTGTGGCATAACATCACAATCATTGCTACTGAAATTAGTAAGTGCTAGACTTGTTTGTTTTTCTTTTTGTGGTAGGTTTAATTTTAATGATAATAGTTCTTAGTGGAATGTATTTATTTTCCCGAGGCATCTCAGACTATATCATTTCAATACACAATAACTCACATAATGGGAAATTATCACATATTTGCAAGCTATGTGAGAAGAAAATATTCCTACACACAGACTATATATTGTTTAACCTTATAATTATTTGTCAACCCTAAAACAATGTAACATTTTAAAATATGGGCATAGTTAAAAGGGTAGGTACAAAAATTATATTAGAAAGTAATACACTATAATTTAAATAAATACAAAGTTTATAACATACTATATGCAATATAGTTATAATGATTGGCATGCTTCAATCAAACACCTGCATTCAGATAAATATAAGTCAACCACATAATAGATAAAGATGATTTTCAAGAGGTAAGATTATAGAGATACTTTTTAATGCTTTTAGAATTCAATATATTTTACACAATAATTATGGACTCTTTAAAATTGTATCCTCAACAGTAACTCACGCTAGGCTTTTTTCCCCAAAAAATTATGTCTAAAATGTAAGTTAGTTATAGGGGAAGAGGTTCTGGGGTTATTAAAAAATAACACTTGTTTCTGTTCATTTTTAATAAGTGCAGCCTCTTTGTACTTAATGAAAGGACCATAATGACTCTGGCCGAGGTCACCCCTCCATTTTGAGATTTTTGCACTGGATGTCTCCATTTCTTTTTTATTTTACCAAAACATGCAAAAGAAAACAAAAATAAAAAGAACACAAGAAAAGAAAACATGCAAATGGTTTTATTTCCAGGCCAAACATCATTTATATTATCTGAATACCTTATTTCCATGTAGGACCTGAAAAGGCCTTCCAAATTGTCCTCAGATTCAAGAATTAAAACCATTTTCTCTTGATAGACTTAGAGTGCAGAGAAAATGAATGAAGATGTAAACACCTACTGGCATGAGCACAAAGGGAACTAAGTTGCCACTCAGTGGTCAAGCACTTGTCCAGCAAGTTCAAGGAGCTAGGTTCCATCCCTGGCACTTCCAAAAGGAAGCATCAACATGCAGAGAAACTCATGGGTACATATATTATGTACAGAATCGGGAAGGAAACTCTAGGTGTATCCCCTAAAATTCACTTTATATTCTCAGGCAGCTAAGTGAAGAAACTGGGAGACTTTCTGTGAGATGCATGAATGTTTTGTTTCCAGCTATTCAGTGGGGCTTATGTATTCCTCGTTATGAGATGCGAGCAGGTCCTTCCCGGACCCTTACAAAAAGAGCATTGATAGATAGCCCAGTATGGTGGCCATTTCTATACTCCTAATACCCAGAAGTCTAAAGCAGGAGAATCATGAGTTCAAAGCCAGTGTGGGCCACAGAACAAGACCCTGCCTCAAGAAAAAGAAGAGTGCGAGCAGGTGTTGTGATGCATTAATCTCAGCATTGCTGGAAGTGAAGAAAGGAAGATGAATAGTGTTTAGCCAGGGCAAAACTTCAACTAGACCTTAAAAAAAAGCCAAAGATATCGATTATATATTTTAGAATGCAGAATGTCTGTAAACCAGTTATGTGGGAAGTGAGGTAGGAGAATGAGATTGTAAGCCAGCCTAGGCAAAAGCCTGAGACTTTCTCAAAAAAAAAGAATGAAAAAAAATGCAGCCCCTATATCTCAAAAGTGGTAAACTGGGGCTGGGAAGGTGGCTCAGTGGTACAGCGCTTGCCTTGCATGCATGAGGCCCTGGGTTCGATTCCCCAGCACCACATAAGCAAAAAGGAAAAAAATCCGCAAGTGGCGCTGTGGCTCAAGTGGTAGAGTGCTAGCCTTGAGCTGAGGAGCTGAGGGACAGTGCCCAGGCCCAGAGTTCAGGCCCACGAACGGACCCCCCCACAAAAAAGTGGTAAACTGCTGTCTATAAGATAGGAGGTCATACATTAAGTTTGAAGCGCTACTTGAAACAAAAAGTAAATAAATAAAAAAGACAAAAGACCATCCCCAAACTAAAAGTTTTATAGGAAAGTCTTGCATTCGAGAGTGAAGAATGTTTTTTTCCTCAAAGCAACTTGAGTGCAGGCCAAGGACTTACAGTCCATTTGCTAGGTTGGTTGCTTCCATGCTCCTGAGCTCTAGGTCTAGCTAGGAATAGTACCTTGAAAACTTTATATTTCTCCTGGGTTAGAAATACTATTTATGGCCAGGTGCTGGTGGCTCATCCCTGTAATTCTAATACTTAGAAGACTGAGACATGAGAATCACAGTTCCATGCTAGACTGGGCAGGAAAATCTGAGAATCTTATCTCCAGTTACCAAAAAAGGAAGAATTCAAACTGTGGCTCAAGTGATAAAGTGCTAGCCTTGAGCCCAAAAACTCAGGGACAGAGCCCAAGCTCCAGGATTGGGGGGAAAATATGATATATATATGTATATATATATATACTATTTATTGCCCTTTTTAATGTTCTTTCCTGGCCAAAATTACATCATGTGACATTTCTGGAAATGGCAAATAAACAT